TTTTTAAGTAAATGATAGTAATATTATTGGGTGTGTCTCTGGTCCCTTCACAAAATATTAGGGAGAGGGTAGACAAAATATGCCTTGTCTCCCTCAGTGGCAGCTCCTAAGGTACATACTACATATGTATATACTTAGTATATAACTTTAGTGAACATTATCTTGCTAAATTGCACTTTTGTATGCCTCCAATCTTTTAATTTTGTTTCTTTAATATTGAAAATTCTTATTTTCATCATCTAACAATGATGTAATATTCCCCTTATTGAAGAAGCTCTCAGAATTAGATTCTTTATCTTGTATGAACATGGCAGCTTTAACCTATCATCGTTTTTAATGATTTATAAGTGTGAATTTGCAAAGAAGAATTCTCTGTTAGCTTCTATGCTATGACCCACCTTCAAATCTAATTATATTATTTATTATGCCAGTAATGTAAATATATTATTATTTCTTATTATTGTATTGTATTTTTCTTGTATATATTATAATCAATGTTATTTATGTTTTATTTTAAATTTTTCTGTATCTTTTATGTTAATTTGATATGTAGTATATTTTTAATGAATAATATTAGTGATGTGTTGGTACTGTGTTAAATGTAAAATAGCCAGCCAGGCCTCCTGTAATTGTTCTATACAAAATACTGGATTTTATCTATCAATCTATAACACTTTCATGTTGACATTTTGGAAAAAGAATATTTTCCTTGTCATCAGAACTTATATGAACGTCAAATATTTCATTTGTTTTTTATGGATCCTGGTATAAAATTTTCATTATAACTTGTTTTTGAGAAACCAATTGATAGAAAATAACTCCTAGCTAAGAACATTTAAAATTGCTAACTTAACCTATTAAAAACTCAATCATGTATAATTTGATTATTAGGCCTTTGTAAGCACCAAATAAATGATTGCCAGTGCTAAAAAATTTCAATATTTCTGTATATAAATACAAATTTTGTTCACGGATTATCATGATTGAGATTTAAAAGTATGAGTGTTTAATATTGTTATTTTTGAAGCATATTAATATTTTTATGTATAACAAGTAGACCATATATTATTCTTGAATATCTATAAAAATATCCTCTCATTTTATTTTATCGTTACATGACTCTTTCGGTGCATTGCATCTATCTATGCATTCATCTATATTTCTAATCTATTTATTTATTTATCTATATTTCTAATCTGAATCGATCTATCAGGATGTCCTTGTTCTTTCTAAAACATTTTTAACAAAATAGTACAACCATGAATTAATGATAGTAATGAAATATAATTTTTGAAGCAACAACAACGTACAAGTGTATAGATTAGATTATAAATAGATGAATATTGTGTAATCCACTGAAAGCTCCATGCAATGATAAAATAAAATTAGATTGAATTAAAAGGGTGTTTTTCTTTGTATTTATAATTTTTGTCTCATGTTGAGTTAGGTTGAAATAAAATATCTTATTGTTTAAGTTTTACTGCCTGGTATGTTTTAAAATAATCTTAAGTTTCATAATAAAGACTGTATTAGTTTAGTAACTATGTTATTTAATAAATTTTTTAATATAAATACATTTTTAGTGTGTTTAATATCGCTACTGTTAGTGTAAAAGGTCGTATATAACAATTTTATATGTTTATTCTCTTCATACTAAAGGTGACATCTTGTGGTCTGTAACTGCTATTAGTAGTCTACAAAATAATAAAATAGCAGAGGGAAATAATAAATAAAATCATACTATAATAATAATATAGAAATAATAGGTTTTTATGCTTTTCTGTAAAAATAACAACTCAATTTTTACAGTAGCGATATCAATTTTTAGATTGATTTAAATAAATTCCAAGGACACATTTTTTTTATTGCTGAATGTATATAAAGTATCACTAAATAACATTATTTTTTTAAAATTATTTTTGTGTGCTATGGTACATGTTCTTATTTTATAATATGTTATTTGATATTTTTTGTGTTATAATATTTTAACTTCTAGCTATAATTGAGTGGTAAATGTTGTTAATTGTTGTTAATCTACTATTTAAGTAAACATTTTCAAAACTGGCTTGTGAATTGTAATGTTTGTGATTTCACCATGAAACAATATTTTTGGATGTGACATTAATAAAATACAATGAATTATTAATTATAACAGAACTTTAATATGATGCACCAATTAATCTCCCATGTTATGGTTTATGTTACCTTCAAACCTTTAAAAATTTCCATAGAACATAAATCTTGAAATGGATAAACATTCATTACTTTCAACTTATACAATCTCCATAGGTAAACATTTATATTATATTTTCCATTTTCAAGATGCTTTTTTTTTTTTTATTGTTTTCTAATTTGTATTGTATTATTTATGATGGTATGGAGATGGTTGTCTGTAGATTCTAATTTCAGAAGAAGTTAGTCGGGGGTGCAGTCAATATGTAAAATACTATATTATATTTATTGCATTGTCATACGTTTCGACCTAAGTTGTAGGTCTTCATCAGGACTAAAAAACATACAAACAATATATATTAATTGTTACAAGGTGTACAATAAATGATAAGTAAAATATTTGTTGATATTGAAATAGTACAATTTATTGGAGAAAGTAATTGTGAAAATCTTAAGATATCCTCAGTGATATTACTTTCTAATAAGTAACAAAACAAATATTTTGCTTATCATTTCTTTTACCCTGTAATAATTAATTTATGCCCAGTTAGATTATATTAATGAGAATAAGACCTAGCTTATATTAAAAACCATTTAATTGTACATTGATTTAACGAGTTTAATGAAAATCGTTTGAACCACTTTCTAGAAAATCGTCTAATTAAAATCGTTTAAAATTGGTTACATAACGTTTTACTTCGAGTTGGCCAATTTTTGTGAAAACGTTGCATTAATATCACGGACATATACATACTTTAAATATGTAATTTCATTTCTGTAGGACTTTTAGTTTTTAAGCTAGGCAATTTCTAGACACAGACCATTTTGTGAAGCTTGCTTGTTTGGATTCAGAGGATCTCAAAACGTGTATTTTCTTTTAGAACTTTATACATCCCCTAACTATATATTGCATACATAGAATCGAGGTCGTATTGGCTGAGCGTGTTAATGAGTAAAAATTAACATACTCGAATCTAGCGACGCCGATTCGAATCCGGCCTGAGCGAGTTCTAATTTATTTCGTAATGGACCCTCATACCCACGGAATGAATCTCGACCTTCCTACTCTGCTAAGAATTTGGTTGTACCTCTAGAACGAAACCCCCTATGCCAGAAACACTTCCTTCAGAGACAAATTATGATGTCCGGTATCCCAGGACAGTGCTTGCCTTAGAATGGGCCGATTGCTCCTGGGCGTCAGCCGATCTTCAGAGGCGCTCGCCATTTGTATTTTTTTTTTTTTTTTGAGGATTGTGCAGGTAGGTGTTATCACGTCCAACCACCTCTTTTTCCCCCTTAATTAATTATTAAATTAAGAGTAACCACTTTATAGAGGTTGAGTGTGCCCAAGGAGGTATTCCTACAGAATCAATCCATGGCTGATGAAAAATTACGTAACATCAGCCGGATTCGAACCCAGGATCTTGGGCTTAGTAGCCCAGTACCTAATTTACGAATTTACTCCGCTCCAGAATAAATATTTTATACTGTTTATAATTTTTACTTTCACTTCTCCATATATAAAAATACCTATTTCTACTCACAACAAAGTGGTAAGTGACAGTTATGTGATGTGCACACAGCTCCAAATTTTTATTATTGACTTATAACTTAAATTGTAGTATTATTTTGTTTCAAATATCTAATGTTAAAGCTAACAGTCGTAGGTAGTGTGGCCCAAATGCGAGACCGAGACGAGTCGTGGTCTTGCAAACTCAGTCATAGTCTTGCGCAAGAGTCTCGCAACAGTCTTGCAGTTACTTATTAGCTTATTACTATAATTTTTTTTATATAGGAGAAACCTAACTAAACCCGAATGAAAAATTAGAGGAGTTAAATGCAAAAGTATTTTGGTTATACCACGGGCGGATCTACGGGAGGGCTTTCGGGGTGAAGCCCCCCCCCTCCCAAAAAATGGTAAAATATAACCATGTTTTACAGAAACAAATATTAAAAACTATCTCTTAAAGTATTCTTGTTCCTGTAATTACATTTAATAAGACTTCAGGAACCACTTAAACACCATGTCATATAGGTAGTTAATTTCTTTATTTTTTTTCAAATTAATTATCGTTATATGCGTATGACGAAAAAAAATCTTTCGGGCTGAAGCCCCTCCCAAAATTAAATCCTGGATCCGCTAGTGAGTTATACCAATTATTAGCATTTAATAACTAAGATTGTCAAGTTTTAGTAACTATTTTTCCTTAATTTATATTTAAAAAATCGATTTTTTTTTATCAGTTCCGGTCTTAGTCTTGCAACAGGTAGGGGGCCTTGGTCTTGGCCGATTTGGATAGTACGAACTTGTACGTTAGTATAAATACTTGTAAGTTTTAAAATTTGTAAGATTTTAATAGTTAACAGATGTTAGATTTCGTTTAATATTTGTAGTTTTGTTAAGTTTAATATATTTGTGATTTTACAGTGTTTTAGTTTTTTTCATTAACTACTGTAGTTGAGAGTGAAAATCGCCCTAATGAAGGAAAATTAAAAAAAGTTTATTATTATAATTAATTACGCCATCTTTTTTTACGGTATGTCAGTGTCGATGATTTATAAAAATAAGAATGAATTTTATATTAAAAAAAAATAGATACATTTTATAAAATAAATAAAATAGATACATTTACTTATATTTTAATGAAAGTGAGATATTTATATGTTTAAATTTAAGTACTATTAAATATTTAAAAATGAATCATCAATATATATAAATGAAAATTGTAAATATTGATAAAAAAATGCTGTGAAGTTAGGTTGGCAGCAGTGGCCCCCCACCCGCAGAAGCCCTCTGCGCCTGCTCCGATCTCCATTCGTCAATATACGTTCATTGGATCAGGACATTCCGTGCCTGGTCCTTCTTTCTCGTTCTCCAGTCTCCCATCTCTTCTGATCTCTCTTCAGGGTTTTCTCTGAAGACCGGTGAGTCGAAATATATAATATTATCACAATTTGTATAGATCATAAGTCGTTAATCATTTAAATGCATTGTTTACATCCGGTGATATGAGCCATTAATGTTATACGAAACTAGTCCTATACCTGTATATTTGTCAAGACATTAAATATTCATAATCGATAGAAGTAATGAAAAAAACTATCGATTATTATTAAAGAGATCAAGCAGACATGAAAGACCTCCGCCCATGACATCCTCTGACATCGATAACCCCTTGCTCTTTCGATTGTTGTGTATCAAATAATTTTTTTTGTGTATTAATACTGCGAAATATTTATTCAAAAACCAGATCAATCGTTAACACTATTTATATTAATACTATAAAAAAAAACTAATGTGTTTACTTTTTATTTCATTTTTTGCAATTAAATTAACATTTGTTATTTTTTTGTTTTTCAGGTCGTTTGATTATTTTAAAAAGTTGTGAAGTGTAGTGTCGGTTTCGTAGTGCAAGTGCCCAGTGAGTGTTGTGTGATTAGAAAATCTAGGGCCATCAAAATGTGGCCTACAGCTACACTCTTCCTAGCCCTCTTAGCTTCAGGTATGTAATAATATTAATAATAACATATACATAATTATTTACTTAAATTATTTTAGATATTTTTTTATCTTCGAGACGAAGGATATTTAATTTCTACTTACAGTAGGATCCTATTCAACCGGCGTTAGAAAAATAAATCTTAAGTTTATTGCAAAAAGTCACTAATCAAACTTTGGATGAACTTTGACGTACTTCTTTTTAAATTTCGATTTTATTTATCGATATTAATACAAAGTAAGTGGACCATAATGACTTAAACCCTTTTTTATGTATGAATTATAGTTATGAGTGCACAATGTTGTGATTTCGCAGCGGAAAAATTCATCAAAGTTATTAATGGTTAAAGGTCATGAAATGTCACTTGATAAATTTTTGGAATGAACCGGCGATTTGATCTGATTGGGCTAAATTGAATTAATTTTGAAGACATAATATCTTTAACTGTCAACTTAAGGGGATTTAAATTTTAAAAAAGAACAGCTGTGCTTAACATTATTGAAGCGGTATAAAACAAAGTACGTCTTACGAAAGTTTGATAAATGTATTATGTATGTCGAGTTTTCATTATCATTATTATTTGAAATTTTGGTTGAGATATTAGTCGAGGGTTGCAGTCATTTAAAAATATATTTTATTTTGTGCCGACGTTTCGGTCTTAGTTTTAGGCCTTCATCAGGGCAGAGGAAAGCAAACACCAGAAGGCTCAATAAAAAAAAAAAGGGAAATGTTAAAGATTATTTCTAATATAACTTAAATGGAATCATGCATCTAAATTATTTTTAAAATAATTTTTAGTCTAATAAATAAGTTTTATTTTAATTTTTACCCATTATATATCAGGTTATATCAAACTTTTTTTACATATTCCGTATTAACAGGCAATATTTTAGTCCCAAGATTTTCTTCTAACTCCTCAATTCTTCCTATAAGAATATAAGAATGCCAAAATTACTGATATAAAAACCATTGGAAGAAACATATACCAACTATATATTTTATTTTATTCTAATTGTGGTAATGCCTTCTCGATTTGTGTATTATCAGATATTTTTAAAACATGTTTTATATAGGTTGTCATATACATTATCAGCATTAAGTTAATAATTTTTTAGATTGGATATTACATCATTTTATGCAAGTATTTTCTGAAAAGCAAAGTTTAGAAGATAAGAAATTATAATTCAGAAAATATCTTTTTTTCTCAGATTCCTAACTTTTGATTTATACCTATGACGTAAAAAAATATATTCCGTTTAATTATTAAAATTCGATTAAAAACCCCTCCGTTTTATATGGATGACGTAAAATTGACATTTCTTCTTATACATTCAATGAGTAATACATATTTAAAACACCGCATCCGGTTCGTGGCGGAAGGTATACATCACTCATTCTTCTCTAGAAGGCAGATCTATGTCACTGCCTCTTAAATATGCTACTACGGAATTTTGTGGAAAATTGCTAATAGTGAAGTAAATGAATCAAATCTAGATAATGTTAAAGAGAAAATGTAAAAAAAAAAATATATTAATTAAACCAATTTATTTATTAATAAATTTACTCTATGTGTTATACTTTCATATGTGATATTATTATTTTAATACCTTTGGTTTTTGATTGATTAAAAAGATGAATCCATCTTCGATATATGGTTACCAATTTTTTTTTTTTTTTTAACTATATTTAATTTTATCATATCTATTTTTACCTTCTTTTTTTTTTCATAATATTTTACATTTAAAATAAAATGAAAACTCGGTTTCATAAGAATTATCTTTTATTTCTCAAACGTTTACTATGGGGTTACTTAACCTCCTAGTAAACTATTTTTCTTATTTTATTCATTGAACTTTTTTTTCTTTTATTTTTGGCCTTATGACTTGTGCAAGCAAGTCCTATGAATTACGTTATAAGCTATAGAAGTCCTAGGATATCCATCTAATATATTCTATACTTTACGTTATCCTTGGAAAACAGTGTGGTCAGCACCTTGTACCAACCGACCGATTAATCATTCTTCAAATAATAAAGTTACTTTTATGAGAAAGAATTTATTACTGTTGTTCATTATTAGTTTAATCTTCATTTCATTTTTACTATTATTCTAAGTAGATTTCTAAGTTTTTAATAGATTATAATATTCCCACATCACATTTTATTAAAATAAAAAAAAATTAAGGAATTGATTTATTTTTTATTTTTGAAGGTTTCCGAATGCTTTATTTGCCATTTTCAAAATAATTTATTCTGCTTCAAGTCAAATTATTCAAAATATATTACAATATATCAGTCTGAAAATATACGATAAAAATAAGAAATATAATTCTTTTCTCAAAAATTCGAAACGCCTTAATGCTTTGTTTTTGTCCATTTCATTCCAATTATTGTTTTGGTTACAGGAAATATTATTTATTTTATTTCTGTAAGGCTAAAAAATTCTAAAGGAAAATGAAAATGAAGTCAAGTATATTTTGAAAAAAAAATTATTTACTGCTTAGAGATATATATTATTAGATATTTTGAGTACGTCACAAAATAAAAAAATATTCAAAAATGAAATGTATCGTGAGAACATTGAGATCAATGTAAAACCTACAGTTGTAAATAATAAAATTATTTTAATAATAAATACGGAAATATTTGTGAGCAATTATGGCTTTTAATTTTAGATAATAATTCACACATTCCACATTCAGATTCAGCCACTGTTACAACCTTGTTAAATTTGTAACTAAATATAAAATAATAGATAAAACAATTTCGAATTCGAGTTTTCAGTAGATATAAATAGATATAGATGTGTGTCTAAAAGACTTGGGGAGACACCCAATAATTAGTCTAAAAGCAAGATGTTGCTAGATGTTATATACCTAGATTTATTATAACATGAATTAGAAACTGACGATGGAGCACATTAGTTTTAAGCCATGTATCCACAAGATCATTGGGATTATGGTTCTGAAGATGGGAGTAAATATCCCGAAACGTGAACTTGCAAACATGCAATTTTGATAATACAACAAATAAATTCAATTGTTGTTAGTTGGAAGTAATCATTGCCAAATAACAAATCAAACTTTCTACCTCCAAAGTAAGTTTTCAGAAAAACACCCCAAGTACACAGAAAAAAAAATCAAAGCTTTGTAATTTATATTATTTTTTTTTTTACAAATCCAAGTACTCTACTACCCCAGGATGCCAAATTACATAATTTTTTTAAAACAACTTCAAGTTAATCTCAACTTATTTTTTACAACTTTCAATTTAAGTTTATAAAACAAGAAAATTTTTCTAAAATTGAAGTACTTCTAGTTCAGATGGAGGGTGCTTAAAAAAATAAATAATAAAAAAAATACTAATAATCAATTATTTTATGGCAAACAGAACTTTGCTTAGTTACTTTAAAGTAGCATTTAAATGCTTTTCACAAACATCAAATCTAATTCTGTCTAAAGTAAATGTTGTCTAATTTACTATAGTAAAGCAGTTGTTTCTTTTCTAAATCAAATATTTATTTTAATTATCACTTCCTATTCCACAAACAGCGTGACTTACTTTTAAAAAAAAATATAACACTTTAATTTCCTACTTAACTGCGGGAATTCGAACCATGCTTTATATAAATTTTGTTGTAGCTCGCAATTTCTCTTCACGTACGGGGCACCTGTATTTACAGTCGGGAAAACCAAATTCCAGGAGTGGATTGTGCATAGGAAAATAATAATAAAAAAACTCGTATGTTCTTATCCAACACAATTTTGCACTGATTGTCATTGCCTGCATTTTGGAGCATAAGCCTGTGTGGTTCGAATGTTTTCAATTATAACTTAAAATTGAAATTCGGTCTCTTAGTGAGTCTTTTTACTGTTTTTTATTAATTCTATGAAATTAAATCAAAATGTAATTTGATGAATTTTCGCTTAGTGAAATCAGAACTTTTTGCACATATGATAAAGAAAAGAATTTGTGTTGTCATTTTCAGGTACTTACGCTGTTTTTGTGCCGACGAATGAGATCTATGTTTACTAGAACATACTTAAAAGTTAACCCAAATAGAAATAGTATACACTTAAAGATGTTTTGTAATAAACCGACGACATATTTTTTTTTTCTATGTAAATATACTATTTTTTAAAGTATTATTTTACACACAATTGAAATGTCAGAATCTAATAAAATGATATTGATTTATCTCTTCTACAATATTGTTATGAAATCGGTCAGCTGTTAAAAACAACAGCAATTGCCTTATAAATCCGCTGCTGATATTTCAAGGGAAGACTTAACCACGGGGGTTCTTTTGTAAGAAGCGAAGGCTAATATTGACCCAAAGATAATAAATGGATGAGGTGTTGGATGAGAAAGATTGGAAGGGGAGTGCGTGATCAATGTGGCGGTGTGAGTCACACCCTTGCGCTGTTCCACAGCGATCCAAATCGCCAAGTCCTTGGAAGCAAATTCCAGTCCAACGAGTTTGTCGATCAATTATACACTTTGAGTTGATCTATGTTTATCCTAAACAATATGTCGATCATACTCATTTATAACATAAGTATTTAATCTGTTATTGTTAGTGAATTAACTATCTGCAAAGTGTTTTTTGCAATAAGGTATTTAACCTGTCATGGTTAGTGAATTTGCTATCTCTGCAAAGGGCTTTTTGGAATTAGCAAATTTATATACTTTTAGTCTTTTGGCCACCACTTTAAAAGTCGTCTGGATGGGATGTATGGGTTTCGGCTGATGGGTTCATGTTGTAAAACAGTCTCTGATGGAAGTTCTTATAGTATTGCGTTGCATTATCTGAAACCGTTTGGATGTCCAAGTCCTCTTGTAACAAGTCATTTGTCGCCCAAGTGCGAGACCGAGACGACTCTTGGTCTTGCAAACTCAGTCTTGGTCATGGTATAGGTCTTGCTCAAGAGTCTTGCAGTTACTTATTAGCTTATTACTATAGAGATATTACTGTAATTTTTTAGATAGGATAAACCTAACTAAGC